TCTAAACTCGACGAACTGCTTACCGATCTATCCTTTGTAACTCCTGTCAGGTTGGTTAGCAAAAAGAGGTGAAGAGGTCGGACGTTGATGAAATCGAGCGTGGCCCGGCCGCGACGCCAGAGGATTTCGTCAAGGCACTCGAGAAAAGGGAGTTGGCACGACTTCAAGTGCCGAAAGTTAACATCTTCCATTTTAATGGGGACAAAGTATCCGAGTGGCTGGAGCTGCTGGAGCAGGTTACGGCCGAGGTGCCTGAGGCAGATAAATTCAAGTTCCTACCCAGGTACGTCTGGTGGGAAACTCGGCCCAAGGTAATGAAGGTGGCTGCTGGAGCAGGAGGAGACTGGGCTAAGTTTAAGGCAGAAATGTAGAGGCGGTTCAAGGAAGGGGATGGCTTGTTAACGAAGACAGATTTGGAGATGTTGCAGCGGGACGAGTTCTCCACGGTGGGAGCTTTCGCAATGTTATTTGATAAGATGGCCAAGAAAGTCTCCGGATTGGCGGAAGAAGAACAATGTGCCACTTTCCTGGGGCACGTCAAGAATTGGGAGGCCTCGTCGCTAACCAAGAAGGCTGCGCCGGGAAAGAAGCTTACTTGGGCCGCCATAAAGGAGGGCGTAATAGAAGGAGAGCTGGACAAAGTAAACATCTTCCAAATGCGACAGGCTAGGAAGAAAAGAAAGGCCTTGGACGCCACAACGAGCGCAGGGCGAGACTTTAAGAAACTGATAGAAGATGCAGTGGCCCAGCTCGATGCAGAGAAAGAGGCAAAAAAGAAAACTATGGCGGCACCACAGGCCCAAGGGAAGGCAAGAAAAACAGTGGTGAAGGAGGAAGAAGAAGAGGAAGAGGAAGAGGAGCCTGAGCCACAGAAGTTGACCAAGGCTCAGAGAAAGGCAAAGAACTTGGCTCAAGGGGGCAGGGCTCAGGAAAGGGGCAGGTCCCGCAAGCTGTAGCCATGCCACCTCCTGAGTCGCCCAGTCAGGTTGCACCAGCTCACTATGGGCCATGGCCAGGTTGTGGACCTTTCAGTCATTGGCATGGGCACTGTTCATACGCCCTGTGGCCAATGAGCAGGCCTCATGGGTCGTGCGCTGGACCATCAGTGAGCGCGGCTTCCTGTGGCTGCTCGGGACCCCAAGCGCAACAAGTGAGCCACCCGAACCCACTGCCAAACCAACCCCAGTAGTTAGCCCCACAAGGTTTGCAAGGCAATCAAGGGGGTGGACGTGGACAGAACCAAGGGTGGGGCCGAGGACGGGGGAATGGTGGTCGTGGAGAAAATGGTAGAGGGAATGGTCGTGGTAACACTTCAGGTGGCGGAAAGGAGGGTTGGACGGCATCCGGGAGTCAAGGCGGTCAAGAGGGTGGAAGAGGTGCTGGCAGAGGGAGAGTAGACCGGATAAATGCCATTTGCTGGCATTGTGGGCAGAAAGGCTACACTATTAAGTTCTGCCACGTCAGGAGGAACGACGAGGACGAAGGTTTAATTAGCACCAACTATGATGGAGACATGTACGACAAGTGGGGGTACCACCTTGACCCGAAGATTCCAGGCGGTACGAGGAAGGAAGCCCTGCGAAAGGCTGAGGCCGGTGAGCCACCCGCACCTCCAGCCATGTTTCGGATATGGCAGGAGAAAGAGGTCCGTAGTGACGCCAGGGTGGAGAAGGTAGGAGAGAACGCAGAGGTGGAGCAAGAAAGGAAGGCCGACACTACTAAGATAGAACCGATCATAGTGGAGTCCGATGATGAGATTGAGGAAGATTGCTGGAACAGGCCGCTGCATGCTGAGACAGGGGGAGATTATTAGAGAACGGCCCGACAGACAATGGAGAGAATGGAGGACCTGATAGACAAAGTCGGGAGATACCAACAGAAGCTGGCTGATATGTGCGAAGAAGTCAAGGGGTGGCAAGGTGAGGAGCCATCGATATACCTCTACGACTTAGGTCCGGGGTCGCAAGGAGGATCCGGGAATCTACCAAACGTTACGACCTCAGGAGCGATGCCTCGATCAGGAATGACTTTCAGACCACCTTCCAGGACGGGGAGGGCACCGTACGTCGTCAGAGCGAGGGCTAAAGGGTCAGTGATTCCCGAAGAACCAGCCAAGGATGTTCCTGAACCAAGTGGAGAGAAGGAAGTTGTGAACGTTCCAGAGGAAGAGGATGATGAGGATGACAGGTTGAGGAAAGAGGAGGATAAGAAGGCTAAACAACGAGCCAAAAAGAGAGGTGCCAAGCGTGATACAGACAAGGCACAAGAAGTAAAAAAAAAGAAGTACGCTGTCAGGGTGGAAGAAGGCTTCGATGTGGAAGAGATAATGGACAGGATACTCGAAGGTCATAATCATCTTATGAACCTGAAGGATGTCCTGGCCTCAGCGCCTAGACTTAGGGATGAGTTAAGAGTGAGACTACCCAGGAAGATGGTAGCCAGCATACGATTGGGGACCATAATCCCTAAGGAGGCTGAGTGGGCTGAGACGGGTACTAAGATGGACTGAAAGTCTGTCGCCTGTGGCTGCCTCGACGTTGTGGTAAAAGGGAAGACATGCACGGCAATGGTGGACAGTGGAGCGGAAATGAACCTCATAAAGGAGGAACATGCCGTACGGCTGGGAATGGAGATAGACCGCTCTGACAACGGGGTTTTTATGGGGGCCAATAGCCGATCGATATTCATTGGGACCGCGTCGTCAGTAATATTGAAAATTGGAAAGGTGAAAGTAAGGAACTGCTTCTTTGTGATGCCTGACTTGGACCACCCTATTCTACTTGGGAGATCGTTCCTAAGTCGGATAGAGACGGTCATCCTCAACAAACACGATGGAACTATGTTCCTCGTCCTATGCGACCCCGTATGTAGGAACTACGAGGTCATCACTTGCAAGAACACAGGACCTAGGAGCATAAGGAACCGTCCCAACCCTGGTTCCTTCACTATACAGGAGTCAGAAGAGGAAAGATTAAGGATTGAAGCCAGCAAGTATGAGGAGAGAAGAGAGCCGGAGGCGCTGGCATTGAGCCTGGCAAACATAGGGGATGCTATGGATGACAGACCCTGGGGCTGTGGAGGCCTTGAGAGAGAAGGTGGGGGAGCAAATGGGTGCAGGAGAAATGAAACTAGTGTATCGGACGCCCGAAAAGGTAGGTGGAATGAGTGGAGCAGAGCCTCAGAGCGCGACTCGGCCTTTTTTAGAGGTGGGCTCAAGCAGGGATCTCAAAGGCGGTACAAAAAGGTAGATCAAAAGTGCTGCCCTGTTCCTGTGCTCGTAGCCGAGGAAAAGGAAGTATACTACGAGCGGGGGAGAGAATTGATACGGCAGATGCGAAAGAATGCTGAGAGTATGCCATGTCGTATCAACCTGCAGACCGACAAGGCGCTGATTATAGGGGAGTCTGGCTTCCTTACAGCACAGGAAGAGAAGCTTATGGTGGACACCATAAGAGGAAAACACACTGCATATGCCTTCAATGATGATGAGAGAGGACGTCTGGACGTGGATAAAATCCCCATGATTAGGATACACACCGTGCCGCATGAGCCGTGGAATTTGCGGGGTGCACGATATCCTAATCCAACTGATGAGGAAAAGGTAGTCAACTACCTAGATGGGAAGATCCGCACGCATGTATCAGACTACTCGAGCGGGCCGTATGCATCCCCCTGGTTTTGCTTTATTAAGCCAAATGGGACGTTGAGGTGGGTACAGGACTTGCAGCGCCTAAATGCTATGACTGTTAGAGACGCAGGTGGTCTCCCTAACGCAGATGCGCTTTCAGAGGTATGCGCAGGGAGAGCCATTATATCTCTGATAGATCTATATTCTGGTTATGACCAGTTTCCTGTATACCCATCTGACAGGCCAATGACGGCGATGCATACCCCTCGAGGGTTGATCCGCATGAACGTCGCGCCACAGGGGTGGACGAATGCGGTCGCCATGGTCCAGAGGCACATGATGAGGGCGATGCAGCCCATAAGTCCTCACATCACGCAACCCTACATTGATGATCTGGCCGTGAAAGGGCCCAAAGAGAAGGATGAGCAGGAGGTGATGCCAGGAATCAGACGCTTTGTGTGGGATCATGTGCAAGGTCCTAGATCTCTTGAAGGAGCATAACCTCACCGCCAGTGGGCCAAAATCAAGGCACTGCATGAGTGGTGCCACTATCTTAGGATTTGTGTGCGACGAGAGGGGTCGTCGGCCAGATACTAAGAAGACTAACAAGATTCTCGAATGGCCAACACCGTTTCAGACTATCACGGAGGTGAGAAGTTTTCTGGGCACGTGTGGGTTTTGAAGGATCTTTATTAAGGGGTTTGCGGCAAAGACGGAGCAATTACGAAAGCTCGTGCGTCAAGGACAGGACTGGGAATGGGGAGACAAAGAAGAGTCGGTGATAAAAGACCTGAAGGAGTTTGAGGAAGGAGGTCTAGTACTAGGGGTACCAGACCATGCGGCGGTGATGACCAGGCCGTTCATCGTAGAGACAGACATAGGGCCAACTGCTCTAGGAGGGGTGTTAATCCAGCGAGATCCCAACGGGGAGGAACGACCATTAAGGTTTGAGAGTCGAACGCTCAATACGTCTGAGAGGACCTACTCTCAGTTCAAGCACGAGACCTTGGCGGTTCTTCATTGCTTGAGGATCTTCAGGAATTACCTTTTCGGCAGCAGGTTTGTACTAAGGGTGAACGCTACAGCATTGGCCGGCTCTCTCAAGAACTTCGCTCCTTCAGATCCAACTATCGCCAGATGGCTGACGTACATCTGGATGTTTGACTTCGAGGTGGAGCGAATTCCAGGGAACAAGAACAGGGCGGACGGGCTGAGTCGAGTCGACTGGGACAAAAACCATCAGAGAGTGATTGAGGATACTCCACCAGTCGACGGATTTTTGAACAACGAGGAGGATGTGAGACTTCACATCAACTCCTGGGCATTGGCCGTGGGTAACACGTTACTCCTGGGCGACCTGTATGGCTTGCGCCTCCGGGACATGTACGATGGCCAGACTTGGTCCTCAAACCCTATATTGAAGAAGATTCTTGAGGAATGTCGGGCGTAGGTTGGATGATGAAGCTAGCTTTAGCTGGCAAGTACGAGCTGCAGGAAGACCCGCTTACAATTGACAATGGGGTGCTACAGGTGGGTAAGCACGAGAAGATGATAGGTGGGGTGTACCTGCTGGCAAATGCACTGCTTCAGGAAGAGACGGTCAGAAATACAGTACTAGATCAAGAAGAGGTGGTAGAGCCGGGAGGAGGTGACAATGTGATCCACGAGAGGGAGGATGATGACTTTGAAGAAGGTGAGATTAAAAAAGCATTTTGAGCAGAGGAATACGAGGGAGTATACCTTGAACTTGGCATGCTTCTTTCGTGCGAGATGAGGGAAAAGGATGCCTGCGCACGGGTTTTGAAGATGAGGCCAAGTTTCCTGGTAAGAGACGGCCATCTGTTCATGAGAAGTAAAGGAGGAGATCCCAGAAGAGTAGTTTGCGGCCTCGCCCGTCAGATTGACATTATGGCAGCGCTGCACGACGGTACGACAGGTGGCCACAGGGGTGCAGATACGACGTATCTGAAGATCCACGAGTTGTACTATTGGGATGGCATGGGGCAGATGATTGATGACTATTGTAAGTCTTGCGTGCCATGCCAGGAACGGTCTGCTCTCAGACCCAGGGAACCGCTGCACCCAAGGTACGTTCGTGAGGTTGGAGCAATCGTGCACTTGGATCTATTGGCAATGCCGTTGGGGATAGGGAGCTACAATTTCATCTTTGATGCACGGGACAACCTCTCGGGGTTTGTGGATGGCAGGGCCATTCGCACGAAGACTGGAGAGACATTGGCCCGATGCATCGAAGAGTACTATCTTCGGTACCCCTTTGTGTCCAGATTCGTGATGGATAGAGGGTCCGAGTTTACATGTGCAGAAGTGAAGGCTCTTTTGAAGAAGTATGGGGTAATCGCTGAGTACACTACTGCAGCGCACCCTCAAGCCAACGCACCTGTAGAGAAGGGGCATAGCACCATCACAAATATTCTTGCCAAGTGGACCGATGGCAGGCCCAACCAATGGCCAAACTTTCTAAGGGTCGCGTTTTTCGTGGATAACATCACTATCAGGAGGAGCACTGGTTATGCACCGACTACGCTATGGTACGGCAGGCATGCGACGTTTCCCATTGAAAGCTTCCTTAAAACCTGAAGGTGACAGGACCTCGAGACTGATCTGACCTTTGAGGAACTGCTGGATTTGAGGGCACGACAGATCGGCGCTATCGAGGACAGGATTGAGGAGGCAGCAAGTAGGACCGCGGACAGCCGTACCAAGGACAGGTTTAGGTGGGATAAAATGGCGAGGGTAAGAAAGGAGTCTCTCAAGGTGCGAGACGTTGTGCTGTTGTATGACTCGTCCCTGGAAAAGTAGTGGTCGAGGAAGTTGGATAAGCGGTGGTTGGGGCCTTACAGGGTCACCAGATGTGGTGAACATGGTGCCTACCAAATCGAAGAGCTGAACGGGACGGCATAGAAGGACTGGGTGTCAGGCTCGAGGCTAAAGAAGTTCGTGGCTCGAGACGAGGTGAGAAGGGGTCCCACCACTTAGAGTCATCTAGTGGCTACTTCGGGTGTTGCCCTCAGTAGAACAGAGTGATAGGTTGTGGTTAGACTTGCATGTGTGTATGACTATGTATGCGTGTGTGTGTGTGTAGGTAGGTAGTTGAGATAGGTGTTGGAGTGTTATGACTGTCTCCTGTTGTGTTTTGTCTGACATCGCTTACCCTCTGTGTGCTTCTGTTCGCCTCTTCCCTGTTGTGCAGGCTTGATACCGCTTGGGGCAGCCATGCCAAGAGGGAGGGGAGGGGCAGGGCCAGTGGAAACCCCTTTGGGGGCAACCCGACAGAGGACACAGATGAGGACCAGGAGAGAGGACAGACCTCCAGTCTTCCAGGGAGGGAACATTGAGCTGTTCCTGATGGAGTTTGAGCGGCATACGAGAGAGTTTGGATGGGACAGCACCAGGATGTTGAGAGAGGTGCGAGGCACAGGCGAGTGGGAGGACCCTATTGCTAAACTGGTCAGAGAGTCGCTGAGCTGGCAAGACTTTGGACGGAGGATGGAGGGTTTGCATCCGTCACCACTGGGAAGGGATGGACAGCCCATTCGATTCGACTTCACTAATCTGGGGGAGTTCTTATGGGCTTATGATCGATATGCAGATGAGCTCTGTATCCCAGGAGAGCAGAGAGTGGGGAGCTTCCTGTTGTTTGTAAGACACCATATCAAACCCTTCGTACGATCCATGGTAGCATCTGCCATGAACTGGGGGTGCTGCAAGAAGCCGCTATGGAACTATTATACTCCAGCTCGTCAGGCAAGTGAGAGGAGAGGTGTGAAAAAAAAGAGAAGGGAACCTGAGACAGAGGCAAGGGGAACCTTTGAGCAGGGCACGTCACCAGGGGCTCAGAGGGAGGAAAGGAGGAAGGAACACAAGTCCCACCGACATGAGAGAGCAGAGGGGTCCGATGGTTCAGACGCACCTCCACAACCTGCTCAGAGGGAGATGGATGACCTCATGCCTGACGCAGAGCCAGACATCCCTCACGAGCCGCATACGCAAGAGCTGAGGGAGGAACCGTCTGTTGATGAAAAGGAGCTGGACAGAGAAGAGAGGGCGGCAAGGGAGCTGAAGATCAGGACTCAACTCCGAAAGAAGAACCTGGCAGAACTGCATGAGAGGATGCAGCAAGGAAAGGCGCCTGAGGAGGTGGAGGACATAAAAGGAAAGGGTACCTGCACTCAGGAGGAGGACTCTCCTCTGTTCTCAGAGGTCTGGATGGGCTTCGATAAGCTGATGGACGCCACAGGAAGATCAGGTGGACAACATCAGGAGATGGGGGTTAAGTTGGTCTCTACAGACATGCTCAACCTAAGGAGCGTGATGAGAGAAGGCTTCGCTGCAGCAAGGACCTCAGATCAGAAGATTGGGGACAGGCTGATAAAGGTGGCACAAAAGGCTTATGGCCAGAGGGTGGAATGGGAGAGAGAGGCTGAGGGCTTGAAGAGGGAGCTGGGAAGACATGGCAAATAGTTGGCAGCAGTAAAGGCGGACATGGAGAGAGTCTCAGCAGAGAATGAGGCCGTCAGACAAGTCAACCAGACCCTTAACAAGGTCACTGACGCGCTGAGGGCCTATTTGTGCACACAACTGACCTTCTTCCAGGTTAAGGAGACTGAGTGGGAGAAAAGAATTTRAAACCTCGAAGCCAAGTATACCCAGCAAGCTCCCACAAGAGTGGTGGATTGGACAGAGGTCCAAAAGTTCGAAATCAGGGGACAACCTGCAGAGGAGGTCTTCAAGAAGGAAAAGGAAGTAGAGATGGCGGACCAGCAGGAGGGAGAGGAGATCCCTCTGATCGACAAAGAGATGTTGGAGCAGCCAGGAGTGCTTGTGGAAAAGGGTGCCGAGGTCGGAGAGTTTGAATGGAGGTTACCTGCTGGCCTGACACTGGGACACGAGCCGGCTGTACCACAGGAGGGACCACCAGTTGAGGCAATGAGAGTTGGGGAGGTTCCACCTACTATTCGGAAAGAGGCTGCGGGACAGCAGGAGGGTCACGAAAGTGTGGGCCAGACCATGGTTGGGACTGAGCAAAGAGTGGACCTGAGGGACTGTCAGGAGTCAACCATGCTTCAGGAGGTGCCAGTTGCTACAGATTTGCAAGGTGTACTGGGATCTTGGGCCACTGGGTCAGGGCCAGAGGGGCGTGTTGGGGAGCTGGGAATGCCAGCAGATGACAGAGCAGCCTGCCCAGCTTCCTCAGGGGTCCCACAGCAGGAGGTTACGAGCAAGATCTCAACAACCCCGTCATCTGTAGCCTCGCTGGAAGGAGACAAGATGTCCCAGAAGAAACTTGGCAAGTGCTTTTATTGCAAGAAGGGCAAACATCGGTCTGAGGACTGCCCCAAGAGCCTCAAGGACGAGTCAAATGGATTGTGTACGAGGGAGTCATCTGGGGTATGGAGAGATAGAAATGGAAACCTAGTCCCTAAGACTCGTGATGGGGTAAGGGCGCAGTTGTATAGGCAACTGCAGGAGGTCATGAGTGATCCGGAGTAGGATTTTCCAATAAGGTCCAGAAAGATCTGAGTCTCACATGTGCGGGACTTCTCTGACTCACAGACTGGTGACTACTTGTATATAGAGAGATACGTGGAGGGTTGGATCAGACCCATGTACATCAGTAGACTGAGCCAGTAGTAAGGTGTTACGCCGTGTTATAGACTTGAGAACCTTTTCCTGTACATAAAATAACGTTGAGTATGACATTGACGATTTTTTCTCTTTTTTTCCTCTAATGTGATGTAGAATGTTAACGTCCTTATAGAATAACGCTCATGAGTGCGGAGCGGCCGTCGAGTTTCGATACTTCGACGCTTGACTACCTTGATTCCTTATGGGATACCTGAACTCCTTGTATAATATTTTAAGTTTTATAATAAGGCAGCCTTTGCACAGTGCGGGGCCCCATGTCTTGGGTGTACACGCGAGTCTCAAACCTTGTATTTATGTTTTATATGTCGTATCACTCTCACTCTCAGGTTGTGGATTTGCCCATATGGATGGTGGTGTGATGAGATGAGTATTGTGAAATGAATTGATTTGCGCTTTCTTCTACTGTACTTACGCCTCCCTGCCCCATGACAAGTGAACCCAGGAGAATAATGGAAGGAAGTGTTATCAGATTATGGAGACAATGATGACATGATGTATTTTGCCCACATAATGATGAAGGGAAAGGTCACAACTAAAAGTTGTGTGTTTTTGTGTATGATTGAAAAAGAAAGAGGGAAGTCCAATGGCCGATTGAACTTTCTTAACAGGATGAAATTTTGGGAGATCGCTCAAAAGAGTCGCTATAAGTGATGATAATGTTTGTATGTATGTAAAAGTTTGACGAGGAAAGACCATATATTTTGAGAAAATCATAGTTGAAAATTTCTGGCAATTATGTTGGAACTTGGAGAATATTGTGAGTATCCCTAAAAAGACGCGTGACCTCACCTGCTTTTGATCAGAGTAAGGGAGGCACGCCCCTGTGGAATTATCGAGGATTTTTTTATGGAATATTGAGAAGGGCACAATCCCTCCTTGTAGTCCCGTGGGCAGCGGTATGTGATCCTTTGATTGTTGTTGTGAAAGAAAGTGTCAGACCACATGGGTTAGTCTAAGGGACGTATTGTGAGGCCGAGCTAAGGGGCTAGACTTGGCATCGCTGGAACTGTAGAACCTAACTCCTAGCGAGGGCCGCTGACCGGCGCAACCTGGCAGCGGGACCATGGCTTACCAAAGGTTAAGTCCTGAAGGGTCGGCCACCCGGAGGGGCTTAGCCGGAAGGAAGGTCTTTGGGGTCGATTAAGTCAAGAGTCAAGACCCTTCTGGGTGCCAATATAGGAAGAGTTGCTTATCGTTGCGTAACCAACGAGGGCACCATCGCTACAAAACAACGCGGTGGGCCGTGGATTCGGCGTGATCGACCGGTCCATGGTGGACCAAGATGGAGACCTGAAGCCGCCTGTGTTAAACTCCAGGCTGGGCATTCGTGTGAGTTGAGATGGTAGATACTACCATGTGGGCGGCTGAAAGCGCCGTGTGTTTTGAGAGGTCTCGGTTAGGGCCCGCGTCCTAAGTTATGACCCCGTTCGAGGGACGATGACTAAATAGGACACCCAACGGTGCACTGGCAGAGGTTTACGACGAAGGGAGAGGACTATTAACCTACTACCTGGGAGCGGGTAGTACGCTGTAGTACGAAACAAAGTATCCTCTAGCTCCAAGGCCAGGACGTCGGAGACCGAGGTTGAAACCCTGGCAGTGCAACGTCGTGACGGGAGCAGGTTGATAAGACAACCTCGAGCGGAGTCGAGCCGGTGAATCGGATTGGTCATTTCCTTGTCAGCAAGATGTGTTTGTATTTATAGCAATGATTGTCCGACGCGACGGGGACGTCGCTTAATAAGGTCCGAAAAATTGTCGGCCCGAATACCCTTACAAGGGTATTTGGGCACACTTTTGCAGCTTACAGGAAGAGCGCGCTTGGCGATATCTGCGGGCGCGTCCCATCTGTGTTGATTAGAGGGTATGTGAGCGTGCACTTTGTAGGCACGCGTTGGCCTGACCAAGTCTGGGTCTCAGAGGACCCTCAGACGTCGGTAGGTTGAGTGAGTATCACGCTAGAGTCTCTGAGGCGGTCGCAACCTCGCACGCACAAACAAGATCTCGGACGACATAGTGTTGACTTGGTAGGATTACGACGCCGCCCGACTTCGAAAAATCGGTAGCTTGGGGTCACACTGTACAAAGTTTGTAGGCACGAGGCTGACCATGCACCGTAGATGGTAGGAGCCACCGCCGGGAACGACACAGGTTGGAGCGGAGGCCGGGGGTTGCCGGAGAGCGACGATAGAAGTGCTGGTCACTGCAGGCTATGAGAGCCTGGAACGCGACCATGACATGAAGAGGGCGGTGGGCGTAGTAAACCGAGCGGAACCCGCCCTGAGGCAGCCAGCACGACATTTCGTAGCCTAAGGCGCAGGCCGTAAATCAAATCAGTGGCCTGTAGTACCTTGCTGCAGACCGGCCTAACGGGCATTATTCTTCATATGGAACCTGGCTTGCAGCAGTGCCAGGTTGGGGACTAGCCTATAGGTTATGCCATTAAGTTCTCACCAGGCATGTCTCGGGATCAAGGCCACCAGCAAGCAGCGGAGCAGTGGAGCAAGGAGCGTTTTGGAGGGGATTGAGGGGTTGAGGGTCCTACGGGACTATCAATCCCCCCTGGTTTTGTTGGGGGAGTCCAGCGGCGGGCCCATGGGGTAGGACCAGGAACAAACGGTCCCCCTTCCCCGTCCGTTTTTCCCTATTTTATTAATTTTCTATCTATATTTTTAATTTTTAATTTTTAATTTTTTTTTATTATTATTTCTGTCGTTTTTGTTGCGCTTGGATGAGGCTGGTACTGGGGTCGGGGCTTGTCGCGAAGCCCAGCAGCCTAATCCTGTGGATACATCCACGGACGGCTGGGGCATCTGTGCGCTGAGGCCGCGGTCCTTCGGGACATCCGTTAAAGTTGGGACAATACAGAGAAGATTAGCATGGCCCCTGTGCAAGGACAACATGCATAAAGTCGGGAGCARCCCGACATTGGGTGATTATAGTAGTATGMGGTGGGGTGCCGCCGCTGCGCGCCCGCTCAGCCGAACTAGGTGCTGGATGCTGCGCCATAGGGACGGCAGGAAGAAGGTGGGAAATTAGAAGGAGGGAGGATGAATCTGGCCACTAAAATGCGCTAGGTGCGTGCAAATGGAGCATAGGCGTTGTGACGGTAAGAGGCAGCTATGGTGGAGGAAAGAGGACGTAACTCGTGCGTTCTAAGATAAAAACAGGGAAGGTAGAGTGCTAGGTGGGGGTAGGAGTAGGGCGAATCTGGGTATGTACTTAGATTTTGGGATCGAGAAGGAGTGAGGAGGAAAATAGAAAAACAAGTGCGAGGAAGCGTTGGGCTAGTGGCTATGGCGAGGGTAAAAACTGATTATCTCACCCGATTMTTCACRGAATCGGGCGAACTAAGACACTACACTGAGGTTTAAAGGCGCTGCGAGTTGAATGAGCAGGTCGGATTCGACGATTGAGTACGGGATTAAGCGCTGTCAGCCTAATGAGGTGCGAGGAGGGAGATATGGAGAACATGGATACGAGGAGGGAACGGGGAACGAGGAYGTGCATAAGACTAACGAGAGRCAACGAGGGCGGGCAAGAGCTTAACAAGAGAAAGGTAGCATAGGTAAGGAGGAGAGGTAGTGTCGGCGAGCGCAGCATCATAAGAAGGGAGGCAGCAAAGGGGGAACGAACCTGGACTCCATTTCGTGATAGATATGTTCGACGGAGAATGGAAAAAGTAACATGGGGAGGTTGGAGTTATGGCAGCAAAAAGGGTTGCAGCATCCTTACTACTTGAAGAAGGTTGGCACAGGGAGGTGATAATCCGGGGCTTAGAGGCGAGGCGAACTAGATGGTGTTGCCAAAGAAAGGAAAAGCTTAGAGGAAGGAGAAGAAAGCAAGAAAGACGGTGCGCGGAGGTGACGGGGGCTGGATATGGTCGYGTCGAAAAATGCASATCTCGCCCGTCTCTCAACGAAAACGGGCGAGTGAAGACTTAAGATAGGGGTTTCMGGGCGGTGCGAGCARCATGGTGGTACTAGTTTTGCCTATAAGTTGGCAGGCTGGCCGGACTCAGTGCTGAAGGCTGCGCCCAGGAGAGAGGTTGACTACGGTGGTGTGTTCTCCCGCAGAAGKGTCCGATCCGGCTTGCCCGTCCTAATCGAGGGGAGTGGAGCGAGGCCAGCGTCAGACTATGGGCAAGGGCAAGCGTCTCTCCGTGTGGTGGTGGTTCCGATCCTAACTTGATTGATCCAGGGAGGCATTGTAATCAACCATGGTGCTCGTCATCAGGGTCCAGCATCGCTCGTCGTAGCAGTTACCGTCACGGGTGTAGTGCTGCTAGCCTGCGTCATGGTGGCGTCGGAAGTTTTCGACAGAAGCTTACCTCGCGTGAATACTGTGGGCAGGGCATGAACCTGACCAGGGTGTTGGCCGGGTGCGTATGCTACGGAAAGGAGATGTCACAAAAGAAGAAGAAAGAGAACGGACGCCTACCTCGGGGAAATTGTGGTGTATGAGGCACCGGGGAGTAGAATTACAGTACCGAAGTGCACGGTGAAGGAAGTGACTGTTTAAAGCTGATTGGGATCCAACAAAAAAAAAAAAAAAAAAAAAAAAAAAAAAAAAAGGGGGGGGGGGGGGGGGGAGAGACGGAAGCAGCCCCCCTAAAAAAAAAAATAAATGGAAAAAAAAAAAAAAAAAAAAAAAAAAAAAAAAAAAAAAAAAAGGGGGGGAGGGGAGCAGGTGTGCCTTATCTTTCGTTACGAAAAAGATTCAAATTTGCTCTGCTCAGACTGTGAGCAGGGGAACTGGACTGCAGCTGTTCACGGGCGTAAGCATCTGAGCATTAAGTCACTAGGAGGAGGAAAGAGAGGCTAGGGGGAACAGACAGGCAGGATGCGTTTTTCACAGGCCAGCTACAAGA